GTTTCCAGTGAAGCCAGCTAAGTTTTGGAGCAGGCTGCCCAGGGAAGCTGCACAATCAACATCCCAGAGGTTTTCAAGATTCAACTTGCTGAAGCATAAGTCCAGGTCTGAATTCAGCACTGACTCTGCTCTCAGCAGGCGGCTGGACTAGAGACCTCTCTCAAGATCCTTTCCAATCTCAATAATTATATTATTTGATTCAAACACAATCAGGAGCCAAATTCAAATAAATCAATGAATGCCTCCCATTTTTCCCTCTCACAATAAAAAAAAGCAATACTCATCTTTAATCATCATCTTTACAACAGTCCAGCATTAACTGAAATCAAAGAAACAAGCAGCAAATGAAGACTATAGAAAAGTACCAACACCACATTAAAAGGCAAACTAAGAGCCTAAAATTCTCTTTGTAACAGCAAACACACATTTTTTTTAATTGCTCTTTACATATTTGGAATTATCAACTGCATAACAATACCAAAGATATTCCTAGTGATTTTTAACTGGGAGATTCCCTATCCACACTAAGTTTCTACTGGCTCTTGATACCATGGCAGTGCCAGGTCCCCTGCAAGTGCCCCAGAGAATGAGGGGATGGGAGGTGGAGAGGAAGCAGGGATCCCCAAAACATCTCTACTCTGTCCTGGAGACCATTTCTGTTCCTGTTTGAGAGCTCTTTCTATTGCTAGGATTTAAATGAAAAGCAAGTGGAACTATGAGGAAGGACTCAATGCACCAATAATTTCTTAATTTATTTTTAATTCCATATGACAGAAAACTGAAATTAGACAAAAGATGTAACGCCTCCACTCATCACTAGGGCAGCTGCAGAAGAACAAATTAACTAATGGTATGATGTGATACAAACAGGTAACAAAAGTAAATATAAAACCTGAAAATTACTAGAAAAATTCTTGGTGCCAACAAGCAACTGACACTCTAAAAGAATTATTCTGGTGCAAATAAAAAGTTAATAAACGTGTATATACCCAGACACACCAAACTAAATCTGACATTCTGCTCTGTGTACATCCCACAGTTCCAAAACACTGAACTTCTTAGTTTTTACAGAGAATTCTGTTTCTCAGTCTCAACACATATATGAGGATAACTATGAGCAGTGAAAGGTCAGACAACTTGATCAACAATGAATCTCTGAAAATATAAAATCCCCCAACTCTGAAAGCCTGCTAAAACTGTGAACTTAGATACTGCACCTTCTCTGAACACCATGCAGCCCCCACCACGCAGGTAGGTCTGATTTGTTTTTAAATTTGGTTTTAAATGGGTAGAGAACTTGTTCAGCACTGAGCTTCGTTCTAGACCTAGAAGATGAATAAACATTTTGCTGCTGATAACAACTTGCACTATTGCTGCAAGAACACAAGGTACACCTTGTTTTCAGCTGCACCACCCTGCAGTGTAACAGTGTCCCTGCAGCCAGGCCAGACACAGGAGACAGCAAGGAAGAGAAGCCAGACTTAAGGTGGGACAGGAACAAAGAGGAGCACTGTGCCTTAACGCTCTGGATCCAGCCAGTGACGCTTTTAAGCATATTCTTATTTCAAGCAATAGCTAAAAGCACTGAAATGAAGTTGCTATAATGAGAAAAAAACTGTTAGCTGGACATGCAGGAACAAGACAAGACAAAGTTACACACAGTAAATACAAAGCAATTAAGGGAAAAAGTTTTTCATCTGAAATGACAGAAAACTAAATTAAGGTCCAAATTCAAAGACTTCTGAAGTATTTGAAAAAACAGTGCCTACTCCAGTCTACAGTTCAGAATAAGACCAGATTTGTGGGATTCAGGTCTCTTTAAAACACAAAAATGTAGTAATTTGGTGGAGTTCCTTCTTCAGCACACAAAACAGTGAAAGCCCAACAACAGTTAAATCCTGTCACTTTTGATACTTTGAAGGGAGAAAAGAAGTCAAAATGACACAGAGGTTAAATCAGTGAAGATAAAAGATAAGAAAGAACATAGTGAAGAGGGCTGGAATCTGATACATCTAACTTTAAGACATTTGATACACAGGCATGGGAGAAATGTCAGAGATGGAAGGTTGTGGCCTTGGAAAATAGGCAAGTAAAATTGTCAAGGATGTTGGAAAATAGTCCAGAGGGAGTCAGAAATAAAAATTACATCTTTGAATCTGAACAGGTCTGAGGCTGGCTGGATACTAAAGGAATCATCTGGAGATAGAACTACCGGAGAACCAGACTGGTGGGGAGGGGAGGGGGAAGCACTGGATTTTTGAGGCATTCAAATGAAAGTGTAATGTAATAAACAAACTAGTGAGAGGGTCTTCAGATAAATGAAATTAGGAAATAAGAGGAGGAAAAAAGGACAAAGTATAAAAAACCTCAGGATGACGGGTGCTACCCCCTTAAAGACAGAGGAAAGAGAAACTCGGTTGCTAGTGAAGGAAAAAAGTCCTTCAATGAACAGAATGAGAGGCATAAAATATACAGAAATAAGAGGGGCAAATTTGTATAGTTAAGAGGCAGAGAAGTTCAGTTCAGAAACAGATCCTGAAAATGAAGAACAACTTTAAAAAGGATCTTGTCACGCAAAAAATCAAGATTGAAGATTTCATTTCAAGAATGAATGGAGAACTAAAATGAACAGCACATCTGCAAAGTAAGCTCAACAAGAAAAAAAAGGGTGAGATAAGAGTGGTTAAAAAGGTCATTTGGGAAGAGAATTAAAGCAGGCAAGGCAAAGTAGAGTCCAAAGTTGTGTTATAATGACATACTCTTCAGAGATATTCAAAAAAGCTGGAATGGAAATTAAGAAATTACAAGAAAAAAAAGTCTGAACAGAGGAATGGAGACAAGGCAGTGTGAGAAGCAACCAAAGATACCATGTATAGAGAACCAGACAGAGATGAAAATAAAGACCAGTGAGTCAAAAGAAGCGAGACCAATGAAGGAAGGAGGCAGCTGAAAAGATAAAGGAGTCAAAAAGGTTAACAGACTGGAGATCCCAAAAGGAGTGAGTGACAGGGTAAAGGAGAGAGAAAGACAGATAAGCTGAAAGGGAGCAGGTAGTGATCAGAGAAAGGGAATTTAGAAATGAGAGATAATAAAGGGAACAGTATTTAGTAAAGACAAGGTCATGGGAATGATTGAGGCAGTGAGAAAATCTGTCTGAAACTAGAAATCACAGGCATTGGGCTGGAAAAACAGGATGAAGAACAGCAGAGTAAAGTACTTACTGGGGGGGAAGGCTTGCCCATGGGGAGGGATAAATTTTGAGAAGACAGAAATGGGTTGAGTTTAGCAAAGTTACAAAGAAAGAAGCAAACTAATGGCCACTAAGAAAACTAGACACAGAGGACTTCAAAATCATGAAGAGGGTAGAGCAGACAACAGGACCAATCAAGCAGAAGAAGCAGAAAGGAGTCGTAGAACTGTAGAAGTGAAAATGAAAGGAAAACACTTTTTAAAAAGCATGAACTGCAGGAAAAGGGTTCAGGGAAGGGAGTCAAGTTTGAAAAACAAACTTAACCTGTACTTAAGTCACCTTCAGAAACATAAGTAGCACTCCACAGTCAGCACCTGTATTTCCCTCCTTGGGTAATCTTGCCAGAAAGGTTTAGTTACTCACCCAGACCAAGCCAGAGATCATAAATTCAGAAGACCAATACTGCCACTGTCTAGATGATATGGGGATATGGCTGGTTTGGAAAAATTTTGACTGTTAAAGAAGTACCAAAAAGTATCGAAAACATCATTTGGCATCTGCTATCCAGCACCTTTACTTCCAGATTAAACTAACTCTTCACAAAGCAGATCTGAAGGCCTTTGTTGATTCTCCCTCACATCAACCTCCTGTTCCTAGAAACTCAAATACCCAAAGCAGCGTTCACCACCAGCATTCAAATTCAGCCATTAAGATTCGCATCTCGCTGTATAACAGCAAAGATAAGAGATTAAGTAGACAGATTGTTGAAAACAAACATCACTGTGATTTTGGGTCCCATTCAGAGGTATCTGAGAACCACTGGCATAAGAAGTCCTTCTCCATTTTCCAGGCCTCTGTCAAGAATTTCAGTCTGTGGCTTTCTTAATCATGAGCATGAATAAAACACCAGCCTTCTCAGACACTTCTAATACTGCATTTCATCTTCTGGTATACTGGCATGTTTTTAAAGTTTCTGCTCATTACAAAAAAGACGACACACTTCTACTGCCTGCTCGTACAACTGGTAGCTGGATCATTAGAGTGCAACAGAAGAGGGGAAAAAACCCCCACATTATTCTCTGCTACCAAACCAGTGACATACAGAGAGTATAAGAAGTGAGCTGAGCATATCATTTCTATATACACTACTGATTGCTATTTATTCATGTGTGTAGATGAGGTTCACTCAAAACTACTGAAACTACATAGAAACCAGGCAACCTATATATTTTCACATGGCATGAAAATAATTTAAAATTTATTTTTATATTTTAGATAAAAACACTCCTTTGGATTAATTGTCAATATACTGGATTTAGTATTGTTAGATAAACTTTTGACAAATAATACAAACAAGATTTTTTTTTATTGTATCATCTTTTGTTACAGTCAAGAAATCTCACCTAGAATCAACTACTGGAAGCAGTTAAGTTGTCCACAAGACAAGGTAGCATCTACTGTAACATATATTATACATATATCTCTAAGAAGAGAAGTCCGAAAAAATATCCTAGAAATACATTAATTTTTATATTGTATTTAATATCTGTGTGTTTTATTTCTATTAGACTACTGCACAGAAGGGGAGTTTCCAAGACAAAAGAGATTTTATGCAATGTCATTCAAAGCACAAAGTTCACTTCTGAAGCAAGTTAATACCAGAGCATTACTGAAATAAAAGGAGGAGCTAGTCAGACATTTTGGGTAGAAATGTAATATGTTTTCTTTAAAGAAAATAAACATATAATAACATAGCTTAAAATAAATAGTGCCATATGTCATCACCAACATATGAAAAAGAGAATGGTCGTTTATGAAAGAAAATATTTTATTAGTATGTAGGACACATGGGAGTGCTATAACAGACTTATCACTTTCATATGTTACCAGGTGCTTTACTTTAGGGATAGATTCTACAGTCCCAATTATGTAAGCAGTTCTATTAACCCACATGAGTTTTTTAATTATAAAGTTTGGTACCAGAGTCATCTGCACCATTTGTTTTACAGATTTTAAATCATGAACAACTATTTTTTTTCCTCAACACAAGATTTAATCATAAATACTACCCCCCCCAAACCTAAAAAAATTTAAATGCTTAAGCATGTACATTTGCTAACTCTTAACTCATCATTTTTTTACTCTACATATCCTCCAGAGGGAGAGAGATCTATTATCGGTTTCTTTCAGGAAAAGTTCAATACTCTATGCATAAGATTAGATACAAATAGCCTGCCTGCACTGAGGGTTTTTTTCAGTGATTTTTAAATGTTCTAGCCCATTTCAGAAAAAAAAAAAGATTGTGTGAGTACTTGTGCATATTAAGAGTTAATCCTGGCAGTCAAGCAAATATTGTGCTGCCTTTTTCAATATAAAGCATTTCATTCTATGACATATGAAATATAGTTACAGAATATAACCATCATTTTAAAAATTATACAATCAGATAACAAAAACAAATCTAGAGGTTTTAAGATACAAACCAAGGTTTCTCAAATACCTCTTCTCCACTCAAGTCCTACAAGATTAAGTACACACAAGTGAGAAGGAAAACTATGGTTTCATAGAATTCATCCTACAAAATCTGGAAACAAAGATTTAAAAAATATGTATCAAGATAAGCTCATGATCTGGCACATACTATTTAAAAACTCCTGTATTTTGCCAAATACAATTTCCATACTATTTGCAGTTTTAAAAAATACAAAACTGGAAACAATCCTGACCGAGGCTGAACATTTCATCCACAAACTCCACAGACAGATTTTTATTCTTTGAGCATTATATCAAATCAAAAAATTAAAGCTGCACAGAGAAACAAACAAGCAAAAACAAAATCTGAGCATGCAGGGAAGTGACTACATCTAGAACCTATACATGTATGTACATCCTGCTGCTTTTATTTGAACTAACTTCTTTTTACCCACGTTAAGGAAAAAGATTTAACCGACTGTAACAGCTTCTTAGCTGTTATCACTGAAAAGAATTACGCTTAGACAGTTCTGTATAAAAAGTTCAGTCATGAAACTCTAGAAATTTCATTCCACTCTCCATTTTTGCCACATTTAGAAACAAGGTACATTCCTTCCTTAACAATAAAAATATTATTTAAGCACAGTCAAAAAGGCACTAAGGTCTAACAAAAATATTCAGCATTTCCTTTTTAACTAATAAAGTATTTGTAAGACAGTTTGCATATATATTTATTTCCCAAATGAAGGACTGGCAACTTTCTCTTAAACATAAAAGCTAAAATTCAATTTTGCTAAATATAAAACTAACTCTCAGGATAGAGTATACAAAAATTATATATTTATGTAGAATACATTTTGTGTTATACTACAGTATTATATCTTTCCCAAAAGATTTCTGTACTTAAAAAAAACCAAACATTTTAAAATTTAAATACATTGTAAGGTCATTCAAATTATTTTAAACACAAAAATCTACAAACAGTGACATATACACAAACAGTTGGGAAGTTGTAACCTAAAGATCACATCTTTTAATCAGACCTGTACAAATGACAGCCTCAGAAGAACCCCTCTTTGCTACTAGAAGCATCTGCATGGTTTTAAGACTTAACTATGCAGACTCCTATTGCCCCAGGGCAGCGCTGCACAAATCTATTCAAAGCCATCAGATTCGTGAATCAACACCTTAAATTTTCCCAGAAAACCTCCAACAAGTGTTTTATGTGTATTATGATAGAATAACAAAACAAAAAGGGCTGTTACAAAAATTTCAGCATGACAAATTTTCCTGAAACTATTTTTCCATCGCACTTGGCAAGCGGAGAACTAATCCTATGACCTGTCTACTCTTACAGCAAGAACTGCAAACTACAATTCAACATAAAATGCAATCACCTTCTATAATAATTATGTTCCTCTCAGAACAAAGATTAAAATAAAGTTAACTGTGCTGATTCATACTTTCCATAAATTACTATAAAGGTGAGAGATTCAGACATTTTGCTTCTGGATAATAAGCCTAATATCTGTATCATGTGCAAAAGTGCAAATGTGTTTTAGAACTGAGGCCCAACTGAATACAATTTTGTTATTACAGAAAATATACTTGAACCCACATATCATGGAAGAGGGTGGTTCTTGGTATCTTGAAATTACGCCTTACACATTTAAACCTGTTGTACAACTGCAAGTTAGTAAAAAATACAAACGAAACCCCCAGAAACAAATGGAAAACAAAGCTTGTGTATGTAAATTGGTTTACGATTCAAAGCACAACGGTAAGCTTCAAATAATTACATTTGTGTAACACACAGAGGGGTGGGATGAGTTATTTAAAATACTTGGTTATCTCTGCTCTCTTCCTCCTGGTCTGGCGTCAGTTCAGCTGCTGGCGGTGTGTGCGTGCATACGTTTCGCTACATCGTACACGTAGGTGATGTCTGGTCGCTTCTCCGGGTCGGGGTTGATGCACATATTAACTAATTGTCGCAGCTAGGGAGGGGAAACAACAGGACAGGATCGTTGGCCTCCTTACAAGCAGTATTTGTGCTTTATCTAATTCAAATTAATAAAACCAGCAAAAATTAGCCAAGCAGCAGTTCTGCATAAGCCCACACTCGACCCTCCCTCTCCCGACACGCAGTTTTATGCAAGAACGTATGCAAGGTGCTCCCAGGATTTTTACGTTTTGTACTGCTGTGCTGAGCAAATTTAAGTTCTAATCCTTCTAAATGTACAACTTCAGGCGTGCATTTAGTCCAATCACACATAACCTACAGAAAATTCCCATGTTTTTGGAGGGGTGTGCCTGCAAGCCTCAGAAGGCTGAGGCGAGGTAAATGAGGACTGCTTGTTCATTCACTCAGACAAGAGTTCGCCAGCAATAAACGGCATTTCTGCGTGACAGGTTCCAAGGAACAAAAGGCAGCAGTTCTCCTTCTAACACACAGTTAACCCGCAGAACCTCCTGCTGCCAGGCACACACATTCAGAAAGCAACTGAGCAAATTAAACCCACTGTGGGCTATTTGTTATAAAGACTTCACCCCCAAGGAAATTTCTGAACTTAAAACTGGAAGCTGGGGAACAGCACACATTATATTGGCCCTGTTACTTCACTTGTCCACTGCTGAAGATACTATACTGGAATAAATAACCTTTGCTCTATATCCCAGTATTTATTCCTTCGGGCTAGATCATTTATTGTGTTCCTTATGGAAAGGACATAATTAACAAATATGTTCACAAAAGCCTGGAAATAAACAAACCACTACTCTAGAAAATGCCATGTTTCCACAAACATCATAACTTAATGGGCCTTTTTAATGCACATACTCAGCAGAAGCAACCCCAAAGAGCTTCACCACCACCTGGATACCTTTCATTGCCTGCACAAACTGGCAGGACAGTTGCAGACTTCTCTTCCTCCATTTATACACCCAAGAACTTATGCCATTAGAACTTAATATATTGTCTGGATGACCTTCTGATAGGGCATCTATTTTAAATTGTATGCAAATCCTAAGTGTTTTTCGACATGGAAAATACCTCTTTCATGATGACTTACTAAAATGTTTACAATCTTTCGTGAAAACAACCAACTCGGAAGCTCTTCTTTTATGCTTCTTAGTTTTGTCAAATCCTCCTGGATCTCCTTATAGCATTAGGGACAGGTGGGGAAAGACACTCCAAACAACACATTGTGATCCACCCTTCTATGCCAATATGTCAAATTTGCTTTGGTCTCCCATGCAGTACTGTTAGGTACCATTATTGAAAAAAAATCTGTAATTATTGCAAATAACACAGAGCAACCTCATCACTCTGAGTATTGAAAAGTAACACAGGTTGCCTCTTTAAACCTGCCATCAGAGAGCTTCCTTCCTACCTTTTATAAAAAGACCAAGAAGGATTTTAAATTATAATTCTACTCCTTTCACTTTTCAAAAGATTAATTTAAATGCATGGAAACAGTAATTCCTGAAGTTAAGGAAGAAGCATTGCACAGCACTATATAAAGCTTTGTCCATTAGCCCTTGCAGATAAACTGCACACAATGTACAGGGATTTTGTACTTAACAACACAAAAACTACGTCACTAGACATCCCTATTCCCTGGCAAAAACAGCTTAATATTTAAAAATGAGACCATTAATTCTGAAGGTAGTGGTCAGTTTGCTGAATTGAAAAGAAACCTATTAAATCAAAATAATCTGTAACAGACTTGCTATTTGAATCTTAAATATCTTAAATAACATTCTGACTAATGGAGTTATAAAAGCCATCATATTGCTTCTGGCAGTCAATAAATAAAATACAATGCCAGTGAAAAGAAAAAGTATTAGCCTGTAATAACTCACAAACATGTGAAGAATAGAATGATGGAAATCATTAGCTACTGTAAGAAATAATAATTGCCAGCACGTAATACAAACATGCAAAGCACAACAGTCTCCTGCAGAAGAAGCAGGTGGGACACAGTGTAAGCAAGAGGCACAGTACAGTGTATTAGCAGGGATGAGCAGCTTGCTACTTAACACCTCAGACAGCCTGCATGGAAAACAGGAAAGACTGAGGAACATCCAAAATCACCAAGCCTGAAATTAGCGTCAAATAAGCAAACATTTTGTGGGGAGAATACAGGTGTAATTTATCTGCAATATACAACATCTAATCTTGAACGTATACATTTCTCTTTCTCTGTGAAGACTTCCATCTGTTCAACAGAACTGCATACAGTAAATAGTCTTTTTAAGCATCCTTGAGGGACTGAAATCTATAAAGCTTGCATCAGAGGGAAAGCAGAGCATTCTTTCTCCTCTTTTTCCCAGTTGTTTATCAATAACTTTACTGCATGTAGAACAGCAGAAATAGATCTTCAAGAAACTTAACCTGTGAAGCACATGAGAAGCTTTGTTTACCTCCAACAGACTACTTCATGTCTTTTTAATTCTTCTCTCAGATTTCTAAACTGAACGTTACAATCTAAAACCCCATTTCAGACTCAAACTGCTTGTTAAGTCACTAAACAGTAAGCCTTCCTTCAGAGTTACTTTTGCACTTGCTACAGAAGACTATAATTCCAAGCTTCAGTAAAGTGGTCAAGAAGATTCATTGCTCAGAAAGACAGTGTAGCAAAATGGCATCATTACTCAAAAGTACATGTAAGACTTTAGGTCCTATTAATCCCTGTAGACACACTTGGAAAAAAAAAAATCATTCACCCACATGGTGTATTGACTGGTGGCTTTTTACAGTTTCTTATTTTTTACTCTCTCTAAAATGCATACATAGCTACCATTATTAGAATGCAAGAAAAAAATATACGAGAATCAGTTTACTCAGAAATTCTCTTCCCAATGTAAGTGGTGAGCTCCATTAGTGACAAATCTTCACTACTACTGTAATAAAATAAACCACAGGGTCACAGACCTCTTAAAATGGTAGTCACTGCAATTACTGCAGAATCTCTGTCCCCCTCTTCCCCTGGGGAGTCCAGAATCTCACTCAGTAAGGTCAGAATGCTGAGCTGACTATGCTTGGGACAGTGCACAACAACAGTGCATATTCCTGAGTAATTTCAAAATCCTTGAGCTCTTTTGAGCCTTGTAATTGAACAGCAAACCCTTGGAAGAAGGTGAATAAATTTTGCTGTACACAATGAAAACAGTTACATGAAAAGACAGTCTTTTGGGACTGAAACCGGGACCACGCTGGATACTAATACTTGGATATTAGCACTATTCCTTTACTCCTACAGGAATATCCATTTCAATAAACCTAAAATCCATTTGTCAGTCCCTCTAGTATTAATAAAATTTTCAATATATCAGAAAAGCTCACCAGTATCATGGGAAGAGGCACTGGGATTCTAAAGTCAGACTATCATTAGAGATGGGAGAAATTTTTTATTACCTGGCACAGACTGTCCAACAGGCAGAGCAGACTTACGACTGAACTAGAGGGACCTCCTGTTGCATCCCCAAGCTGCAAACTTCTTTGGCTGCTTATTGTTCTTAACCTCCTCTGCACACTTAGCACAGTGACTGTCTTTAGCCTGGAGCTTAGCCTGACATTGGAGCAGTGGGACACACTTTCTTTAGCAGGTTTTTCAGCTATGAAATAAATAATTATCACACAAGTCAGGAGGAGAGGGAAAGACAGAAATATGACAGGCAAGTACTCTGCATTGCTAGCTAGCTGAAAAAGAAATTTTCATATAGGGAATTTTGGATGAAAAAACCCACAAGGTTATTCTTGGTCTGAATAGGAGACCTTCTTGAAGCCTTTTCTGAGTGCTTTTCTCAAGACTTTCTGCTGGCAACTAACACCATCACCATGAACCTGCTGGCTCATTCAGCTGTCACATCTGGGTAGGAGCTCTGCCAATGGACTTTAGAAGAAATGCACCTCAATCAAAGTGAAGATTTTAAAACTTAATCATGAAAGCAATGTTATATTAATATTGGCTGAGAAGATTTTAAGAGTATTGATTGGGGGTGGCAAGGGAGCCCCAGTTTTGAATTCTCTAAAGCAGAACAGCTTTCAGTAAATGCTGAATACTCACTCTGAATACCAGATGTTTTGAACATATATTAAAAAATTGAGATATCCAAAGTTATTAAGCATCTGAAAATCTTGGCTTGTGTCTCTACCACTGAAGCAATAGTTTGTGAAAACGCATCTTAGACTATTAGAATTTCTAATCAAAGGTTTTCTAAAAAAATTACCCATCTGTCCATCTAAAGGTCCATCTTTCTGTCACACTATTCTCTAATTACACAGATGTGATACATTACTAATAGGTTGGTCTTAAAGAGGATTCAAAATTTAGAAAAAATGTCACATCTTAAAACTCACTAAAATTTACTTACAAAAAGTTTCTCAAAAAAAGCGCCTGTCTTGTATTTTGTAATAAAAGTATTTACACTCCTATATTACAGGATGCAGAGATCAACACTGAGTGAAATTTTTCTTTGTCATAAAAAAATGAAGTGGGCTTTACTGATCAGTGAACCCTGATCTTTACTGATCACTGAGTGTGCTTCTGACCTGGTTAAAGGTTTGACATTTATATTTCCAGTACAGGTGAAACATTTAGGACAGTATCCTAATATGACAGATACCACTTGTTTATCTTCTTCAGTGTTCTTGCCAGCAGTGTATTTTTTCACACAAGTAAAAAAGGGTCTATTTTGGTGCAATAGCTAATAAATGTGTGTGTTTTCCACGTACCTTAGTGAAGGCACAAGTCTTCATATCATAACATAATGTTCCCATTACAGTTTCCATAGCTGATGACTTCTTTTAAGTAACTATTTTCTTACTTATCTTGATACCTATAATAGCTCTGATTCTCTCATTATCTTTTAAAGTAACTTATATGTATTTTGCAAATAACTGGTTTATCCACCGTGCACAAGTACGTCTGCTTTGAAATAAACAGAACGTAACATGTTGTGCTTTGCATCTGTTTGCAACACGAGAAACTGTACAGATGTAAGGAAAGGGTGGAATCTCTTTCCCCATCCAAACTTTAAGACCTTCTATCTGGGCCAGGCTTTGATATCTGCCCCTTGGCTGGGAATCCACATCTCCAACTTCACACTTAGCTGCAGCGAAGTAGCCCTGCAGGCAGGCCAACTTCAACGAACCACTAGTGGTATCATCATTAAAATCCTGCTGAAGGTCACCATGGAAACCGCCTGCTGAGGCTTCGCTGCTGCACTCGGCATCTCCTAATCAGCTACCATGTGAAATGCAAATTCAGACAGTCTGAAAATTAGTCAAGAAGAATAGAGGATGAGGATGCAGATATGTGAAATATTCATGCGCTTCATGGAAAAAGGAAGACAGCATGAATGACACAACAAAGAACGGCCCCTGACATTCTTGCTATCATTTTGCATTATTGTTCACACCCTACTGTATTTCTAGGCCTCCAGTTCTGAAGTTGGTTATATGAACTGCCATATTTATAGTCTACAATAAATAATAATTAAAAACGGCCAAGGTAAAATAACTAATTGGAAAACCCACAAAGGGGTATAGTGTATAAATTACACAATAGATTGTTATTTCATCCTTTGTAGCATCACCCAATTATCTTTTTAAGTCCAGTTTGTTTCATAAAAGGGGAAAAATTGTCACTATAAATACAAAACAAAACACTGAGCAGTAATCTTTTATTAATAGTCCAATCACTGTCTTTGAATGCAAGAAAATTTAAGGTTCAGAATTAGAAATTCCTACTCTATAAATGAAATTGTATAATGCTTTATGTTTATTTGCTTTTTCAAAATAATCTTTAATTCATGTAGGTTCAATTCAATTAGAATTGCTTACTAATACCTGTTCTTTGGTTTACAGCTTCTATCAGTTTGCCCTGTTCTTTTCAAAGTGGGAAAGTGCTTCAAAACTGGCATCTCAGAATATTAACAAGCAAGCATTTATATTTTTCCATATTTTTCCACTAAGAAAGATATTTATTTTGTTTAGTTTCTTTTCATTTTATAGCTAAAAAAAATATTCCCCCTTAAATGCACTAATGACAGTAAGAACTGTTACCTACCAACTTAAAACAAACACTGTTGCGATATGCATGAGTATATTGTTCAAATTCAATTATATTATGTCTGCCTATACTTCTCTGAAATCTACTATTAGTGTTGTCAAGAACCACTCTTTCTTGCAAAAGAACTGCCATTCAACTGTATTGAACAGCACACTGCAGTTTTATAACGCAGACAAATGAGAACTAAACAATTCATTTTTACTAGTGAGTTACATTATATCTATTTTAATGCAGGCCCCTAGAGAACCAAGGCCAGTGCACTAATTTACTGTGCAACATAAACTTGTTGTGCTTTTAGAAAAGCATACTATAGATGTAAGACTCCCATTTTGGCATGTGGAACATACATCACTGTGCATTCTGGGAAAGTATTTTGTCATACTTGCAAGGAAGCCCAATGAAATTAAGAATCTAACAGCGTGACGTTTCCATCATTAATACTCTCAAATATAAATCATATAAGAGACTTGTTTTGACAGGAACATTTGAGTGAGTTCAACAAGTAAACACTTATGGGCATAATCTGCAAATAACATAAAATCACAGAAGTTCATTTATTTCCCTGGAAGCGTGCCAGCTTACATAAACTGAGGATCCAGCCCATGAAAAGGAAAATTACTTACTTCCTCTGAATAGTGATCTGAAGGGAGAGGTGGGTAGTCACACTGTTCTATCTTCTTGCACAGAGAGTACAAGTTCATTTTATCACCATAAAAGGGACTCTGCAGCGCAGCCATCTGTTTAAAGAAAATGCACAGTTTTCTTTTGTGTTTTTAAGTAAACCTATTTTGTCATAAAATCTGTAATACTAACAAATCAAGTGATTCTTAATGACTTTGAATTTCCCGCTTAGATAATGTGTTGCAGAGCTAAAAACAGAAGTTCCAAAACTATTACTGTAACCGGTGTGTGTACTCGTTCTATGTCATATAATCACAGCTGTCACAGTCCTTGCACTGCAATATTTGAATTGCACACCATTAGGATTTTATTAATAGAGTATGAAGAAAAACCCAGTAGTGCTGTGAGTGTGGAGGGTCCTTGCACCACAAGGGAGACCAAAAAAACCCGAAAACATACTTTTCCTTTGAAAACATTTTGGAAGAAAACATGACTTATATGAAAACATTATCTGACCCAAAGCAATGCAGTGTGTAGAAAATGCTGGGTAACAGCATAGGAGATTTTGTAACCTTCCACAGCCATGACACTAGACTGCCATACAGATGGGGGTTTTTTAAAACAAGAAAACACTATCATCTATACTTTAAAAAAAAAAAACCAACAACCAAAAAACAAAACAACCCAGACCCAAAAACTTCATAGTTCAGGATGTTATTCAAAAAGATACTTAAAAAAACCCCCCCAAACTTCATCAGAAGTCCCAAACTGGCACCTATGGCTATAATTTACAATTAAAATACAAAAATGAGAAAGTCTGTTGCAGAGCATTTATATAAATGGCAGCTTAAAACCAGCATTATTAAACCTACCCTTTATTTCCAGACAATGTTGCAACTTGACACTTAAGGTGGAAACAAATGCTATGGTTAGTTGCATTAGAAATGTAAAAATTCATTTAAAATCTCTCCTTTCCGTTCAAAACCTTCGAAATCTTTTAACTGCAGCAGCCTGAATGCTGCTCTGAGTGTGGAGCTGCCCCAAAGTCAGTCACCCTTTTCTACATGTGCTAATAAGTTTGATTTTGGAAGGACAATGTGTACATTCCCCAGACAGGCAGAGTGTGTGTGAAACACGCTAGTCCATGCTGTGCTACTCAGTGAGCTTCAGCAGGGACAGGACAAGCTGAAAATGGCTCTCATCTGTCTTGTGGTCTTCCAGATAGCAGTTTAACTCTTTCGTGTCTAAGCACCAATATCACTGAGGGAAATGTATGAAGAAAATTACCAAAATTCTCTTACATTTTGTATCTGATTAAAATGCTCTCATATAGTTCAGTACTTTTTCATATTACCTTCAAGTAAGAATAAAAAAATTGTAAAGCTCCCAAGACAAATATCATGCTACAGTTCCATCCTAACCTCCTCCCAAAAATTCTGTAACTGTATTACCAAGATAACGTTAATTTTTGGATTTACATGACATTGTCTCTTACCTTAAAAAGAATGTTAAAAATGCAAGCTAAAGACCAAAAAAGAAAAGAAGGGAGGAAAAAAAGAAAAATCAACTGCAGGGTCTGTACACATGCAGAAATTCTAAATAAATGCACAGATACTCATTTTCGTACTCTAGGTGTTCATTAAAAAGTACTTTTGTTTGAATGCTGCCGAGTGTTAAAAAAATTTCTGAACGTCCCCTAAGGAGTTAAAACAGGAATACTATATTTTCATGCATCTCCTGCTTTGACAGATGAAAAATGTCAACTGTCCTGTTTTTATTTTCAAGCTTTTGCACTATTCATCTGGTTCATTAGTGCATCTCGCTGCTGCCCCTGACAGCTGCTCGCCCTCTCCTCCCAGCAGTTGAATTTTTCAGGCTAATTTGATCCTCCACACTGAGACGATCACTAGAATGATTGACTTGCTCCCTGACCTCCAGGGTCTGACTTTCCTGATTAGTATTCTGGGGGTGTCTGAGGGACGAAAGCCCACTGTCTGTCTTCAGGGCTGGTGGCAGCTCGCTCTCTCTTTTTTTTTCCCCTTTTTTTTTTTTTTTTTTTTTTTTTGAACTGTAAGCCACCAACCTACAACCCTGTAAGGATGCAATTGCTACGCTGAACAATAAAAGGAAATGTGTAAGACCTACTTTTCCATGTAAAGGTCCGTGTAGCAAAAGCACAGCATCTTGATTTTAATTAGTAAAGTCTACTTTGTTGCATATCAATTAAAACTCCAGAGGTAGTGTTTTTGAGGCTTCAGAAATACCTGGGGCTCTAAAAAATTCAGACTTGAAAACACACTTAAAAATCTTACTGGCCACACAGCATTGAATAATACATTGTGATATGCGTTAGAAATAATAATTTTTTAAAACAACACACATTATAACAAGTTAGTCTAAAATTAAAACATAACCGAAGAGAGTTTAGCAGCAATTAAGCATTTCTTGAGATGTGATAAATCTGCCACAGCTTTTCTCCTATTAATCTGGAGACAATCCAGAGTACATATGAGCACATATCACCATCAAATCAACATAATAAAACATGCTCAAACGCAGCCAATGGACATATCACAAAAAGACACCAAGCACAAAACTGCAGATAAAAAGAATACGATGCATTAGTCCACACAAGTCTTGGAAGAACCTCAAGTAACCACTTTCAAATAATTTAAAGAAAATAATAATACTGAGAAAAATGCTGAGCATGTATTTTGAGTTTGCTATAACTAAAATTTCAAAATTACACTTCAATGTTCTATGAAAAGCTCCACAATAATATATGGAAACCCATCACAAACATCTGGTATGTTGAAGAATTAACTAAATGGGATAAATGCACCTCCAAAAAAAATTAAAAGCTATAATTGAAGACACTGCCATATACCGTAGCTATATATCAACAATAAGGATCCTAATAATTATTTTATATTTACAATGAGGAAAACAAACACCATCATACCAACTTAAATACCATCCCAGTAAAACTTCTACACTAAATCAAAGGAGAATTAAGATATTTAGTTATTTGAAATTATTTACCAGATCAAAGAAAAATGTAATATTAACATAGATGTTTAATACACTGTACCAGCATGAAGGCAGGAAGCTTAAAAAAAAAAAAAATCTTCAGAAAAGTGCTACTGATTTCTGTCCAGCAATTTAATTTCATTTACCATAAAAGAAAAATTAACCTTAAACCATGTTTTTTTACATAATGATTACTTATTCAAAGGTTTTATTTGTTTGCTTCCAGATTTAAAAATTACTAAGGAAAACCAATGAGTGGCAAAGAAGTAGTAATACTGAAAAATGCTCATCTACCTTTGTGTTACCTTTGGGCTTGTGTAAGTGTGCACAGCACTGAAACCAGTGGCAGCTGCCATGGTCAGCACTGAAGAATTCCAATACAGGATTAAGTTTTAGTTCAGAATTTAATGCTATCAGCTACAAGACATCATTCCTATGAATCATCCCCAAGGTTTAGAAGCAACAGCCATACATAGATCTGGAAACTGCATAATTGCAATAGAGTTATTTGCTCTTAATATTCAAAGCAGCATGTCAGCGGTAGAAAGTAAATGAATATTACTGGAGACAATTCACTAGTAGTAATTCAATTTTAACAGGCTGACAGTGTCTTCTACAAAATCCTAAAACAAACAGGAGGTGCTGATACTGTTGAGTCTGTGTTAAATGAGTTCTGCTGACTCACTGAGGCAGGTGGTTTTTAGGTAAACAAAAAGTATATGGCTTGAGTTTATGAGTTTTTACCTGGAAGATGACTAGGAAGACTTCACTGCCATTGAACCAAATTTTTTCCAGCATCCTTCAACACAAGTGTTCATTCTTTGGATCAAGAAATGATATGCAAAGATCTTTGAAGACATAATTGCCTTGGAAGCCTACCTGTTTTTAACACCTTCATCTGCCTCAATTTCAATTTGCCCTGTATCTTTGTTTTCTCAGAATATAATATTATTTAAAATTATGTGTCACCTACCAATCCTAAATGTAGAAATACAGAAATCAAACACTAATTGCAGTTTAACCAATTGTACAAAAATAGAAAAGTTACATGAATTCTGTGCAGCAGAATTCATTATCTTGAGAGATAGTCCAAGTTAGGAGTAATAACTGAACATTTTCTATTGTTTTACTTAGGTTTTAAATATTTATAAAAATAAGCAATTTGTATAAAAGTAACTTACTGCAAAGAATGTATCATGAAAACACGTAGAACAATTTTATATGTGCTTGCTATTATTCATTTATTAATCCTTCAGTTCATTTAATTAATCCTTCATTTATATTCATTTATTAATCCTTCAGTTAAGCCCAATCTTCACCAAATTGCTGCAAGATCTTGGTAGCAAGCCAAGCAAAAGGTAAGTCTCAAGTAACATGTAACTTTTACACATGTAAAAGTATTCCATACACTGAAGTTATGTAAGGGGAGTGGGGGGGAAGGGGGAAGTACAAGAGTGTTATTAAGTTCACTGTATATATCAATATTACCTCATACAGCAGACAGCCTAGGGACCAGATGTCAGATTTGAAGTTGTAACCATTTTCATGTATCCTCTCTGGAGACATATAATAAGGTGTACCAACTGCAATGAACACAAAAGTATTTTTGAATGAAAATTTCTGTTGTTACACATTAGTAAAATTACAGTTTTCCAGACTGAAAAATATTTTTCATCTTCTATTTCTTGTTTGCTACACATATAATTTCAAGTCTTATTTATGACACTTCAGTTTGACAGAAATACATTAATTAGATATCTATTTCATCCAATACAGCTTTATTTTCATTACTGATACCTAATTACCAGAACTATTCAGTTGCAGAATACTTCCAATTTTTGCTTTTAGAGAAGCTCAAAAGTAATAAGTTTCTCCTGAAAAGAACACAGGGAACATACTAGACACACACACACATCCCTGCTTCTGTTCCAAGCTGTTATCACTGGCTAGAAACAACAGCTAGAAATTCTCTTCCATGGGTTGAATTTCATTATTTGTTTTGAAAGTTGTCTGTTCTTTCTTCTGAGAATATAAAGATCTGAAAAAGCTGCTTTTGAAACTAATAATAGCTGGAATTCAAACAGAGCCTGAAATCCAGGACCTTCAGATAGGAAGGCAGGAAAACCTGTTAGCCCAGCAGACGTTGACGTTCCCATAAGTGACTCAGCCATTTGCTGCAGGACTCAACTCCATGAGGGCTTTTCAGCTCCCAAACCTGTGCCTGTCCCAGCTTAATCCTGCCTGAGAGCTGTGGGCTCTGGAGACATCTGCTCTTGAAACACAGCATTCACTAGGACTGCCCCAGAGTTAGTTTACATTGGACACTCCAGGACATCCCTCCTCTTGATTTTAATCAAATTCTGCCCATCTTTATTACTTGGAAGAGAGAAATTCTGAGATGTTTCAGCTCTGTAAAAAAATACCATTACAAAAAAAAAAAAGTATCTGAGTGATGCATTCTTAAATGACTGAGCAATAAAAAAAAAAAAAGAAGTTATGAAAAATAAGGATAGTAGTAATTTTGGTGCATTGTTTCTGAACTTTCTCCCTGTATCCCCCAAAATGACTGCCTAACAGCAAAAAGAGTCACAGATCTATGTAGAATTTTACTTCAGTTTTGTTTGGAATATGTTCTTAAGCACTGAATCCTGATGATGAAAAGCAGCTGAATTCTGTCAATGCAATGTAAGTTGATTTTATTTTGAAACCAAACACCTTGCAACACCAGAGATTAAAATCAGCACTCTCACTACAAGCTACAAAAATTAAGAGTATGAAGCCCATAATACTTTATTTAACACAAAGATCTTGTAACACTTCTACACTTCTGCATAGATGAAGCTAATTCAGAATTGATCTCTGCGTGAATGTTAGAAATGGTGATACAGTGAATATGTAAGTAATTCCACATGTGAGTAATCAGGTTAATAGCTTTAAATTATCAGATAGATAATTTTACTCTAATCATTTCCAAACGTTAAAGGTTTTGCTCTGACAAGGTGCCTTACCTTTCTTAGGGAGTTAAGGTAGAGGGAGAAGTACTTTCCTACTTGAAAGGCCCAGCTCAGACAGGGAAACCCTGTACCACCTTATCTCAGGTCAGGCCACTGCTGCTGGTAACCCATAATTTCAACTGATCTCCTTCTCAGCAGACAATACTGAAAATCCACATAAACTGAGAATGTGCTTCTGTAACATAGGCAAGGACAGAGGTCCCCAGATTGTATCCTACAATGGATCTGTCCCATTAAATATTTTGGGGCGGACTTCTACCCCCAGAAAGCAGAGACTTTGCAGCCCCTCTCCTTCAGTGCTGGGCTGAGGAATCACTGCTGCTCTGAACTGAGATTGCAAGTGATCAAGAGCTTAAAAGGAGAAAGGCTGGGGAAAAGCAACTCAAAATACTGGATTACTGCAGGAGACAGTCTCATGGGATGTTTGTATTCACTCAAGAGAAGAATGGTCAAGAGGAATGGTTCTTTTCGCTGTGAAAGAATATACAGGCAGATGGGTAGACTGCAACAACAAAACTACCAGAATATCCAAAGCAACCCTGTTTTCTAATGTATCAACAGCAGTACTTTAAAGGGTGTTTAATGACAGATATCTTAACATTGGAAACTGTAATTAAACAACATTTGGCATGACACAGCTTTCATATTTTTATTATCCTTAGTGTTTTACTTCCCTGTTGCATTTATTTTCTTTAACACCCCAAGGACTTGTGAGCTTGGACACCTCTGAAAAATTTCAGATGCATTTTGCACCCATTAATTAATGCACTGGTTTCATATATTCTGATGCTTTGTTTGCAGAACTCATCTAACAACAAAAAATAGGTTTAATAGTAATCTGGTTGTTCACTGGTTCCAGCAGCAGTGCCTTTGCTGCTCTGAGATATCACACAAGTAGCTGGCAGTGAGTAATGTGCTAGAAAGAGGCTTCACAGAAACCACAGGGGGCAGCTGAAAACAGAGGTTTGAAGGTTCATAGTCTACCAAAAGCAAAGGTAATTTTAACCAGTAGCTCTGGGAAGCCTGCTGATACATTAGGGGTCTGATATGACTGTGAAAGATTGATGATAGTGAAAAGGAAGAACAAATGTTACCATTTTACAGCATTTAGCCTAGCGTAACACCTTCACTGCAATGCAGCCAGAAGCCCCTGATGACCAACTAGTGAAAGGAATTGAAATTACCTATGTTAGTCATGGAATCACAAAAACAACTTTAAGATTCAGACATCATTACTACTTGTAAGCTGTTTTTTAACAGAACATGACACTAAAGATTCATAATTCTGACATTCAGGAGCTACTGAAAGCACTGCAATGATCCTTTTAACAGGGTGAGCAATCTAGGGACATCGCTGCGCTGCTGGCAAGCAACTACCACTTGCAATTGTACATTATGTTTCCTTCCTGGATTGTTTTTTTTTTTGTGTTAAGTGAAATACAGCATCCCAACAGCACAGAGATCGGCAACTTCCTGACTTCATTTACTCCTCTGAAGATACAGAAGTGGGATAATACAAGAAAAAGACATAACCAATTGAGGTGCCTATATTTTTAAGAAGAAAATTGGTAGCTTTAGTGTTCAGTTCCCCACATTTGCACATCTCTGATAATCTGCAGGTCTGAACAGCAAACTCCTTTAAAATGGCTGAGGTCAAATAGAGTGCTTCCTCAGAATATGCTGCTGCTCTGGAGCTCCCTCCCTTTAAAGATACTGTAGATCCAGAAAGTGTTGATTCTACACACAAACTTTCTGCTATTGGGAGACGGAATGGACATAATGGAAATGGTGGTTAATAGGGAGCAGGAAGTTGGATTTGAAGGATCACAGGCAAAGAATCCATCATGAAGAAGCGAGTTATAAACAATCCATCTTATTACCTGCATACACACGTAATTCACACCGCAGTTGAGCCACAGTGTGTTCACTTAAAAACTGAGTGCATCAACAAGTGCAATGAAATGCAGTAAATAGGTCTAAATATTATCAAGCTGGGAGACAAATCTGCCTGGAAAATGTTAAATCTACTCATACAAAACAATGTAATGGCTGACTCAGAAGGGGTTTATCAGCCTATAGCTTTAAAAAAGGTCAACCACTGACACAACAAATTCTCTAAGACATGACACTTCACAATGTGGTTTAGTGGGCATGCTGAAGGTTAGGCTTGAGGGCCTCTGAGATCCTTTCCAACCCTAATGATTCTGACTTCCAAGTCAGGGGCTCATCTTCAGCTACAGATACAGGACCTAAAATACCACACTTATCCAAAGTAATTCTGCAACCTAGCCCACATTATGAAAATATTTTAACTACAGAAGTCTATCTATAAACATCTTGGGTTATTTTATAATGGAGCATTGTACCAGTACAGCAATTTATCTTCAGCTTTCAAACTACTGTAAGAGATCTCTGTACCTAAAATAAGATCTGCTTTAATACAACTTCTTTGATCACTGCAATTAAACTGCTGCAGATTTCCCTGCCAGCCTTTTTGTACACCAAGGGTGCAGCTTCTCAGAAGGGTTTGGTATCAAAGCGGAGTTTATTCACAGAATGGTGCTGCACACCACCACCTCAGCACACCCTCTGCTGGGTTAGAAATCCACACACAGGAGGAAAGGAGAGTATTTGCACATATTTTCTGAGGTATTTTATTCCCCACAACCTGCATGAGTTTATAGTTAAATCCCTCATAACGTAGCTCTGTGCTTGGGACAGCAGCATCATGGAAATGACAGAACTTATCAAACCAAGAAGAAACACCGGAATTGAATACAGATGATCCTTTGCATTCAAGCATTTTAAGAAGATTGCAGATCTGCTGCTTTGCCCTGCAAGAAGGTATTGACATCCTGGTGGCAGTGCCTGCCTGGACAGCACACTGTGCAGCTTTATAGCACAAGCACAGCAGAGAACTGAAGTGATTCTTTTTGTAACTGAAACACTGACATATGGACTATTTTTACATCCACTGAATGGCTAAAACAGAATGTTTGCATGTTTCCATGAGCTGGTCTTAGAACTGCCATGTCTCTGAAGAGTGTAAGGCCTGGCCTTCAGCCATTAAAACAACTACAAAAAACCCCTAACAGTCACAGGGAAAGGAATATGAAGCCTTTGTTGAACCATATTCCCATTTCTAATATAAAGTCTGCCGAAAACAAGAAATTCTGTCATGTTTGTATGCAATCAACAATACTAAATGCCTCCTTTCCCTTTGCACTTTTGGAAGAAAGATTTCCTATTTTCAAAAAGGTATACACTTGACATAATAGAAAAATCTACCTCTTGATAAGGCTGTATAGAAAGAGTTAAGAATATGAACGAACCCTGTCCAGTTCAGTTCATTTGTTTCAAATGGACCATCGGTAAGTATTCTAATTAAATCAGTATTATTCATAATTAGCAGTTAGAAGCTGTACCTAATTAAAATTTTAGTACATTTCTTTATCTCTGAAAGCCTGAATCTAGTTTGCTACTGAAATTTTTATAAAGCCTGTAAACAAGTATAAATTGCTACACATATGTTTGTAATTCACTGGGTTTTGTGCACCAAAGGTTTATAGAATCATAAAAAGGTACAACTTCGAAAGAAATTTCAAGAAAACCAGTATCAGAAACTGCAGAAGAAATTAATTTTAAGAAGTGGTCTCTGCTAGTGACATGATAAATCAGAGTCCTGTAGCCTAAGTTAACAGCTGAAACAAACCTTTTTCCTAGGCTGAATTCTGACATTAGATCATAATTAAGAGTGAAATGGGAAAAGAGGAGACAGGGAAAAAAGAAAATAAAAAATAGCAGCTCCTCCACCAGGACGCAGCACCCAACATTAGAAACAAAGCTGCCATCCTCCCACCCCCTGCTCCCTGGGCAATTCTTCATCTGTAAAAGAGGATCTTTAAAAATAGTGTAAAACCCCCAAGCCCTTTAACTCTGGCTCAGTCTTCAGCTTTTTAACTTCTAGCTCAGTCTTTGCAACCATTCCCCTGCCATGAGCCAAAATAATGCAGAGTTGAGGCAGTTTGTTCCTCTTTAACTTCCTGACTTCTGCCTCAGAACACAAATCTAACTCTCCCACCCTCACTGTGGACTTCTGCCTTTTTTGTGGGCTCCTGATCCACAGATTAGGATTTACATCTCCCTCTTCACATCCTTTGTCCATTTGCAGACAGTAGCAGGACCCAACTACGAGCTGTTCTCCACAGTGCTACCAGAGATGCCCACTGGGTTATGAGGGCAGCATGAACAGCAGCACTTGAGATAAAATGCTGCCACGTCCTCATATCAGATCTTTCATGTGGAACCCAAGCACATTTCCAGTCTGGTCTCACTACTTTGCTGTCTTCATCTCTCTCTTTTCCTATTAATGCAAGATTGCACATCTGTGTCTGAGGTTCACCTCAGTCCTATTAAGATCTCAGCAGTTACTGGTTTTGACTATGCCACTACCGGTATGCCCCAAACATGGTAAAAAACAGGAAGGCACAAAGGAGTGACCAAAGGCTTTCAGGAACACAGGGAAGTAAAAATCAAAAGTTTCCCTTCTAAAATATTTTTTTCAGCTGTTAACACAGGTATCACCCACACCTCGAATATGGTACAAACATGCCAAACATCAATCCTCTCTTCTTCCATGTTCTACTGGCAACTGGGAAAACTTAAATTAAGAGATAAGGATAAACATGGCATATTTTAATCTGGGAAGTCTGTTATTTCATAGTCTAATTAGAAACCTCAACATCTGGAAAAAAAAAAAAACAATTCTTTGTGTGTCCTCCAATGGCTCTAACATAAGCACTGCAAGTATTACTTGACCATTTTTAGGAAACACTTGTTCAGAGGCAGAAATGTACATTAGATGATTCAAACTAAGCGGGGGGAAAACCCAATGAGCTGTAGTGCTGAAAGTATTGCCTCAGTACTTCACAGCTTTTCTGTATTTGTCCATGGTGCTGACCACTTTTATTATTATTATTATTTAAGAAGACCTTTATGACCACATTTTTATTATTGTTTAAGAACAGCTTCAGCTGGATCTAACTGTTTTCTCCCTCCTCTTGAGTGGGCACATGTAAAAAAAAAAAAAAATCTACCTGTCCAACACCTGTACCTCAGAGAAAGCTTACCTAAAGAATGTGCAGCTGTTGTTTTGGAGCTGAAAAATCGACCAAGTCCAAGGTCTCCAAGCTTTACTACTCCTGTAGCTGTAATGAACACATTTGCTGGCTTTATATCTGAAAGAAAAATAAATTAAATTTAAAAGTCACAGTAAGGTCGCAAGAAAAGCTACTGCTCTAATAACAGACCAAAAGAAGATCTTACTTACAGCTAATACTGGTAAAATTTAATGGTGGTGTTCAGAAAGAATGAGACTGGAATTTAGAACTTCAGCTACTTTAACAGTACAAACATCGCTCAAGCAAGAAAATCAAGAGCCATGGAAAATACTTTCAAAAAAACCCAAGCAAACAAACAAACCAAACCCCAACACTCAAAGCCAAACAGTAGATATAAGGCAGCTCATTACTACTTTATATAAGCTACATAGAAGGTCTTGCATTAGAACTACAGAACCTCTTATTATGTCTAAGTAACAGCACAGAAATGTTTTCAAGCAGTGTAAAAGATTTTTCATCACTTTTGCTGTTCACATAAACCACAGTGACATGATGTTATTCATTTGAAATAGGTAACTGATTCTCTAATAGCAGGCATTAAAAAAAAAAAAAAAAGGCAAGTTTTACTCAGGAGAATGGTTATTTGCACTCGTCAATGGAACTGGGCTAATCAAGTAGAAACAAAGAAAAATAATGATGTATACCCCAGACAGTTATTTTTCACAAGTAATATTCAGTTTAAGTTTTAATCCAGTCCCTTAGAGACAACAGTACAGACTTTTATTTTATGGTTTTTAAACAAGGTACCTATCCTGTTTCTAAATAAACTGACCTGTTATTTGTTTGGGAAGGGAGTCTAGCTCATACTCAGCTCGAGAGCAATGCACTGTGGCTCCAAACTTGAAGAAAATCACTTCGGTTGTATAAGAGGGGATTACAGTTTGCATAAATATGGGTAGAGTGAAAGGAATGGTTAATAACCCTTCAAACACCAGTGTTTTCAGGTTCCCAACAAAAGAGTTACAAAACCTTGTAAGCTTTAGAGAACAATACAGAAGTAATTATGTTACGCTGCTATCTGACCTAGTTTTCAGGAGTTTGGATCACCCTTTGTGTAACAGTCCAACACGGACACAGCTAAACTTAAAAATAGCTTTAATTGTCATTGTTTTTGGTGTGTAACCATGGAATCATTAGATTTGCCACAGGTTTGCCAGAAGCTTCAAAGTTAATATTTCATTTTAAGGAACTTAAAATATCCTTTTGGTTTTGAGTTTAGTCATAAAAAGCAATAAAGGAAGATACCTGTACCCTATGGAAAGAATCTGTAATTTTATGTCCTGTTATTTGTATCATTTGCACTTGCAGGCATCTGTACAAATGCATAAAAAAAAAAAAAAAGGAGAATCACAAGGGAAAGCTGTTTACAGGGGCAGGGGCATCTAAGCTGATCTGCTGAAGGGTGCAAGATTTCTAGCTGCAAATGACAAAGCCCAGCAGAGAACAAGGGGCTGCTGCCTTCAGGCAGCTCTGCATCCCAGCAGAAGGAAGCCACCAACCTAAGACATCCAATTCCCCCTGAACCCAATGAGACAGCTCACATACAAGTCAACAACCAGAGGGATTTCCAAGGGAAAAAAAGATTGTACATCTGAGAAGCAGCTCTACTACGATCTGTTTTCCTGGACTCAGAGTTACAAGGCAGAATGAAGACAACACACAGAAGACAGCAGTACAGAGGTCTAAAATGGGCCAAGGAGGTTCAGTGCCTGACAGATAGCTGGCAACTACAAGGGCTGTTGGGACACAGTACCTGACACAGAGATAGGGTTAGTGGTAGTGGAGAGGAGCAGACAATTAGAGAAAACACTCAGAGCTGCACATAATCCAGTAGATAAGGGACTGGGAGAAGGGTCTGTACATCACCATTCGGCATGGCGGGAGGCAAATACTTTTCTAAGACAACCAGGAGCAAGAGATGGAAAGAATGTGCAAGAAGGCAGGTAACAACAGCTGGATGAGACAGGGGGCAAATACAGAAGAAAAAGAACAGGACAGAAAATAAGAGCCAGAAAAGTCAAGTAGCACGTGGCAGCATCTCCATCGCTTACAGAACTATCACTTCTTTTGAAAACTTGGTTATCACAAGCCATGGCTGCAAACAAATGCCTACCACAACAAATGTACAACCACAAACTTCTGTCACAGTTTTCCATTACTTATAAAACGTTACAGAAACGTACATTGTGTCAGCTGTCAAAATTGATTCCAACCAGCTTAATTCTCACATAGTAAAAGGTTTAGTAAAGACAAATCATCTTTGATCCTGTATTACCTCTATGCATAACACGACGAGAATGCATATGTTCCAAGGCACTGCAAAGCTGAACAAAGTACTTCCAAACTGTTCTTTCAGGAATCAGCCTCTTCTGTTTCTTAAAATGCTTAAAGAAAAAAGGATGGACAGCAAATATTAAAAATTAAAACTTGCATAAAATGACTGGGAAAAGACTAAAAATCCTTTCTTAAAAAAAAACAAATACAAGAGGTTCACAACCTATTGAGAAAGGTTTAATAAAATTTCTTGATACAGAAAGCTTTTCCCTTAAATATTAATACATGTATCATCAATGTATGTGTTTATTCAGTTCACACACAGAGCTACAAATAACACTAATGCAATAAAACTGCTATCCCAAAAAGGGATTTAAACAGTATTTTCCAATCCTCATTGCTGGATTAATGGGGTCAGAACAGTCTAGCACGAAGTGGACACAGAACAAATAAAGGTCAGATATAAAGATATGTGCCACAGAACTTCCTAAACTAAACACTGATTTCCATACCGTCATTTTCTAAATAAAAGAAAAACACAACAGTAGTGACACACAGTCACAAAGATCATGTAAGAAGGGTTGATTAGATTAGTCTTACAAACTTTTGCAATACATAAAAGGAGACTAAAGGAACTGATTTCTGCAAGTTTCATAGTGATCTAACTCCTGTTCAAATATTTTCCATCCTGTATAAAAAATACCATTATTGATCACTGGTAACAGTTCAATGGCCTGTTAAAGCTTACGAGAAACAAATATGCTCTGTTACACACATCTTCTCCAAATATTATATTCAGGAACTGGAACCACAGTCCTCCAAAGACACAAACTGAAAACCTGGAATTCAGCCAATGCTAAAACGTACAAGTTTAATAATTATAAATTTTGCAGCTAAAGGTAAGAAGATTGACAAATTGTTGCTCATTTAGCCTTTCTTTTAAAGAAACTGTAATATGTTAGATTTTAAACACATGAAGAAAATACCTACACATTAATATTAGCAAAATTTTAGATGTAAAGCAAAGTACTTATATGTATCTTAACAGTGTGGGTACACACACACACTTCACACTCATGCACACCCTAAGAAAGTTCACATAACAAACATTAGTTTGGAAAAATAAAAATACGTCCATATACTATGTTAAAATATGCTTGACAGCTGCATCTACACGTAAGAGACATGCAGGAGGATGAGAAAGATGGTTTTAAACTAGCTGTAGCAAAACGCATCAGCAATACAAAGGATCATAACATTCCACCAAAATGTTTTTAGCTATAGGGATTATTTCAAAATGCATTTTCATGTAAATGAGGCAAAGCATATAAATTACGTCTTTAAATACAATTTTCTTTCAGTCTTGGACTGAATCCAAACAAACCCTGTGTATCTGTTCTCCTCGTAGCTGGATTTGCATATCAGAGGATTGTTTGATGTCAACAGGAAGATGGAGACCAGGTTTCTTTTCATTTAAAAACAAATACACAATACATGTAAGTATGTGCACATGAAAGCATAGTTCCTTGATTTAAAATGCATCCTGAAATTATCATAATTATAACTACACACTTTATTTAAATATTCTGAATTATTATTTTTTTTTAACTTGAATGTAAGTACAAGCAGTGATGAAATGCCATTCACAAAATGTCTGAAATGGGAAGATTTTCCATTACAGATTTCCATTCCCATGTACATCAGTGTACTTTCCAAGTATTTATGTACAAGTTTTAACATTTTATTCACTTGCCATCTGTAACACTGTGCACTAAAAAATTGGCTTCACTTGTTACAGAGTAAGGATGCAATATAAGTGTGTCAGATGTAGTCTCATTCTACTGAAGCCATTAATAATTTTGCAGGATAATATTAATCTCTTCCTGAAAGCATCAATATTATTACTTAACCCCACAGAATTTGTCTAAAGAGGACGGAGAAAAGCTGATACATTTGCTAACAATGTTTGTATTTTTGTCCCTTTTTACAGAATAACCGAACAGTTTCCTAATGAGAAAATGTAACTCTCCTTAATCTCTGATGGATTGCTAAAAGAAAAATAAAATATTCTCCAAATGTTTCCATCCTAGTGAAGTTAAACATAACTGCCCTGTACCTGAAAAGCATACGCTGTTCAGTTTCTTGGTGGCATTAAAAAAAAAAAAAAGAGTAAATGATAGACAGGGGGGAAAAGTTTCAAGTCAATATAAAAGCATGAAATAATATACTGAGTTTCTAAAGATGATGCTTTAAAGGTCAAATTCCAAAAGTAAAAATGACAGCAATTAGCAAATGGTTTTACCTAGACTTTACAGGCACAGTTCAGAGAATACCCAGGACTATGTTTGGACTTCATAAGAAACTTAAGGATTTCCTGTGGGTGAGTGGACAGTGAATGTAGACGATTTAAACACAACTAGAAATTTCAGATATGACTGCCTACATCTCAGTAACCATGCTTGGAAAAAATTTAGTATTCAGTTCTGATTTGGGTGTATCAGAGGATTTTACGGTGTGATTTACTCTGCTTTAGGCCTCACTGAATAGGGAAAAAAAATAGGAATAAATTAAAAGAAGACAACCCAATGAGTGTTTAAGAAGCAAACTGGACTAAAGAAAGCAAGATGTTTTATGGAATTCTCCTGATGACAGTTGATAATTTTGCAGAGTCATTACTTTAAAATAAAGAACAGAACTGTGAAACTGTCAAATAAGCCCACAAGAATATATACCTGAATTTTTCACTGCACAGGCTGTTGCCTAGAGTTACCTTCTGAAAGACTATATTTGGGGGAAAAGTGAAATGAGAAAGATGATAAAACAGATTCCTTTTCCTTTCACCATTTGGTGAGACTCTAGATCGCATCATCTTGTTCTCATGGCAAAACTTCACTTCTGGCTTCCAAAAATATAAGAGGTAAGAGGGGGTTACATTTTATTGCATACACTTATCAGAACACAGTGATTCAACAACAGATACTAGTGGGAAGAAATCTGAACTTCAAGAGCAAAGTGATACAGAAATTATTATTACACAGAATTTTCAAGTAATAAGTAATGAAGTTCTGGACCATTTCTGGCTGTGTTTCTTTGGGAGCCCTTTTTAATATGGATTAGCAGAAATAACAGAAAGAGGAAAGAGGGGGTCAGGCAGCTCTAACAGGAAATTATGGAAGCACAACCAAGGGTTCTCACTCTGTGAATACAGCAGAAACAAACCAGAACTGGCAAGGGCATACAAGGCCAAGAAGACAGACCACTGAAGATAAACCTCAGCATCTCTGTATTTTGGAGACTCAAGTATATAGAAATTAATTACCTACTTAAGTCTTATTTTCTATTTAAAAACCTAGTACCAATGCATCATCACAGGAGTTTTGTCTGGATCTGCTCTTCATGAATTCAGCTGCCCATCTCTTTAGACCATGCTAAGTTTTCTGCCATTTTTCTTTGCTTTCTATGCAGAACAAAAATAGAACTTCCCACAACATCCTGATTCATTCACTCAATTTGATCACAGCGTGATCAAATTTGCCTACATTTCAAGAGCAGCAGCTGTCTCTTAGTTGTAAGAAGAGAACAAATACAAAAAAAAATCCAAACCCAAGCTATTTGGCATCTACCAACTGAACATACAGAAACCAGCAAGTATTCAGTCAACAAAGTGACTGAAATGAAAATATTTACCTGTTTCTTTTTCCAGCTTTTATTTACAGTCGCTTACATCTCCAGTTACTGAAGATGCCATACATTTACCTTTTCCCTTTAACACTCCACAAAAAAAGTGTTTCAAAAAACCAAATCTTCCTCTATTAGTCATCTCAGTATACAACAAACTTTACTTAATCCAGAGCAACAAAAGACTAAGACACAGGACAAAAACCGGCATATAAAATAATGGTACTAACAGAAGTACCTACAAGCATCAGAGGGACAAATCAGTAGAATTAAACTGTGGTCTTTCTTTGAGGGGAAAAAAAAAAAAAAAAAGAACACGCCACATGGACACCACAGAACTGAGATAGAAGCATCCTCTCAAACTATTATCACATACACCTACTTACAAGAAATAATAAGCCTTGTAAAAAATGCAAGTAGAATTTTTCATATTTTCCATTTTAGTATGCATTCTTTCATGCTAATAATCAGACTGTTAATAAGACTCTTGGTTAAACTCAGATTTCTTAGAAAGCTCTGAACTAAGTCACTGTATATATATCTATTTTTATCCAGCTTTCTCTGCAAGGATTCACATAACTTTTCCTTATCGAGCAGTCCACCTACAGTCACTGTTCCACCTAATGTTTTTGCTGATGCAAAAAAGCAAGAGTATACAGTGTTCAGAAATTAAAGACACCTACTGAAATCAGATCTACTTGCAGAGCCACTAATAACAAATTTCCAATACTGCATCATTTTCCACGTCCCTGATGTTACCACTGAGTAGGGCTTCTTAAAACACACAGCCACATGTTTAAATTCAACAGTATTTATTTACATGCATCTCTCTCCAAAAATTCGCTGTAGGAAAACTGGTTTAGCATGAAGAGGTGAAATTCATGCTTGAATCATTAATTCTACTTGCTAATAAAAAGCAATAGCATGACACAGTAAGTAAAGAGGCTATCATAACTTTTTTCTCTCTACAAACAAGGCAGACAGGTTTGGTTTCTCTTCATTCTCAGCAAGTTTTTCATACTGCACAAACAATGACGGTGTGAATTTTTCAAACATAACCGTGGGAAAAATTAAAACTAAACTCCAAGTATTGTTTGCAGGACACTGCAAACAAGAAAAGTACCCAGAACTACTAATTTAATAAAATCTTTCAATTCTCCCTGCTCCTTAAAGCCTCACAGACAATTCAGCATCAGTGGGCAAAGGCGGAGATGAATTCTCCAAAGCCTTTCTGCCCAGTTAGAGCTACTTGACCAGCCTGCGTAAGTTAAATCGAGTTTCCTGCCAATTTAACCTTTCACAGCTGAGTGATACCATTACTTTCCCTACATGTTCAGCCAGTACTTACACAAGAGCTTCAGGTGTGATGCTTGTGAAGGGGACTGACCACAAGACAAAAGACTGTTGATAGTCTAATTATTTTAGCAGAAAA